ACACGGGAGAAAGAGAGAGAAATACAGGAGAGAGAACACAGGAGAGAGAGAAATACAGGAGAGAGAGAAACACAGGAGAGAGAGAAAAAACACAGGAGAGAGAGAAATACAGGAGAGAGAGAACACGGGAAAGAGAGAGAAACACAGGAGAGAGAGAGAGAAAATACAGGAGAGAGAGACAACATAGGAGAGAGAGAAAACACAGGAGAGAGAAAGAGAACACGGGAGAGAGAGAACACAGAAGGGAGAGAACACAGGAGAGAGAAATAAAAACACAGAAGGGAGAGAACACAGGAGAGAGATAAAGAGAAGGCACAGGAAAGAGCATGAGCAATAAAATAAAGCAGGTGAGAGATGAAGAGTGAACACAGAAGAGAGAGAGAGAGCGATAAAGAGAAAGCAGAGGAGATGGAGAGAAAACAGAGGAGGGAAAGCTAAAGAGCAAATACACCCAGGGTGACTTAAAGTGATAGGGCACGTGTGTCGAGGGGTGGGGGGGAGCAAAACCAGAAACTGCCGCAGAAACTCAGCGGGTCTGGCAACATCTGTGGAGGGAGAAAGCCTTGTTAATGTTTCAAGTCCAGTACAATGTTTGCAGAGGCACTGCGAACATTAACTCCGCTTTCTCCCTTCACGGATGCTACCAGACCTGCTGAGACTCTCCATTCTGTTTGAGCTTCAGATTTCCAGCATCCGCAGTTCTTTGGAGCGTTTTTATTTTAAGGGTGGAAGACGGATGAAGGAGAAACAACATGATTGAAAAATGGAGAGAGGGATCTAGGAAATTGAGAGTTATTCTAGTTTTTTATTCAGACGAATGAAATGTATTAACAATAGAATTGTGAGAAGATAAAGAGGGAAAGAAACAGGTGAGAGATAAGATTAATAACAAATTAGGACAGAATGCCTAAAATAATCAGGACTAATGAGGTGTCAGAGATGGTGGGGAAGGAGCTCAGAGAGACTGAGCCAGAGCATTAGAGCGCTTTTTAAGGTATGAGTATTTACAAGTATGTCTGTGTACACCCGAGATTTCACAAAGCCCTGTCTTTACATGCCAGTGGATTTCAGGAACTTCCCAGCTTTGATATATATTAAAAAAAACCGAAGTTGCTGGAAAAGCTCAGCAGGTCTGGCAGCATCTGTGAAGAAACAAAAAATCAGTGTTAATGTTTCGGGTCCAGTGACCCTTCCTCAGAAAAAAAAAACAAATCGCTTTAAAAAAATACATTTGGGGCGAGAATATTGTGATGGTGAAAGATTCAGATGCATTATTTGATATTTCTTTTAAAAAAACACACACACACAAACGAGACCCGAAATAAAAGGTTATTAACGCTCAGAGGAATTCTGCAGTCGGTGTACAGAGGGATAACCCTCTCACAATCCGCTGGGGTTCTGAAGGTGCAAAAAAAAACCCGAAGTTGCTGGAAAAGCTCAGCAGATCTGGAAGCGTCTGTGAAGAAAATAAAATCAGAGTTAACGTTTCGGGTCCGGGGTTCTGAAGGTGCTTGATTCCTACTTTGGGGATTCCCTCCTGCCTTTTTCTTCACTGAACGCTGTCAACGCCTGTAAAACACTTGGACATTCAGTTCAGTTCTCTAGAGGGGTCACTGGACTCGAAACGTTTGCTCTGTTTCTCTCTCTCCGCACAGATACCCTGAGGCAATTTCTCTCTGTTCCGGGGCAGTGCTGTGCCTGGGCTGAAAAGGGGAGGGTGAGATCGCTGGGTTTTGTGCGGATATGAGTGAATGGTAAGGTGGGATCTCTGGGGGTCGAGACTAGTCGGAAAGGCTCAGCAATAACTAATTTCAATTTCTCTCGCGTTTGCCTGGATCGAACACTCAGTTGCAGGCAGCTCTGAAGAACACGATTTCTTGTCGATGTCCCAGACTAGCTGTGGATTTCATATCCTTTCTAGTTAGTATCAAGCGGTGAGAGGGGGTGGAAGGAGAGGGTGGGCGGAGGGGTATGGGGTGGGGGGTGTTGCGGGGAGAGCAACGCGTTGGCAGAGAAAAAGTCTTCCCTCCTCAGAGCTATCCCCAATCGCTGGGAGTCTCTCCCTCATTTCCAAGTAATTCTGCAGTTCCTTTTTTTTTCGGAAATGAAAAAAGGAATCTGCTCACATGGCACTCTCAGAGTTCCAGATGTCAAGGTTTGGAGTGCAGGTTCATAGTTCCTTGAAAGTGGAGTTGCAGGTAGACAGGGTAGTGAAGAAGGCATTTGGTATACTTGCCTTTATTGGTCAGTGCATTGAGTATAGGAGTTGGGAGGTTATGTTGCAGCTGTACAAGACATTGGTTAGGCCACTTTTGGAATACAGTGTTTAATTCTGGTCTCTGTGTTATAGGAAAGATGTTGTTAAACTTGAAAAGGTTCAGAAAAGATTTACAAGAATGTTGCTGAATTATATGGTGGGAGCTGTTTTGCCTGGAGTGTCAGAGGCTAAGGGATGACCTTACAGAGGTTTGTAAAATCATGTGGGGCATGGATACGGTGAGCAGTCAAGGTCTTTTCCCGAGGGTAGGGGAGTCCAAAATTAGAGGGCATAGTTTAAGGTGACAGAGGGAAGATTTAAAAGGGACCTGAGGGGCAAAGGGTGGTGTGTGTATGGAATGAGCTGCCAGAGGAAGTGGTGGAGGCTGGTACAATTACAACATTTAAAAGGCATCTGGATGGGTATATGAATAAGAAGGGTTTAGAGGGATATGGGCCAAATGGGAGTAGATTAAATTAGAACATCTGGTTGACATGGACAAATTGAACCAATGGGTGTGTTTTCATACTGTATGACTCTGTGACTTTATGACTCAAAAGGTGACAAAACAACAAAAAGAAATTTCTGAGGAAGGGTCACCGGACTCGAAACGTTAACTCTGTTTCTACCCTCACAGATGCTGCCAGACCTGCTGAGCTTTTCCAGCAACTTTGTTTTTGTTGTTATTGTGTTGAAAAAGAAACAAAGAACTGGATGCTGGAAATCTGCAACAAAAACAGAAATTGCTGGAGAAACTCGGCAGGTGTGGCAGCATCTGTGGAGTGAGAAACAGAGTTAACATTTCAAGTCCTGTATTTGATTTGATTTATTGATGTCACATGTACAGAGATACAGTGAAAAGGATTGTTTTGCATCCATCTAAATTATACCTGACATGAGTGCTGAATGTAATGTTACAGCTACAGAGAAGGTGCAGAGAAAGATGTTATAGGAAGGATATTATTAAGCTGGAGGGTTCAGAAAAGATTTACCAGGATGTTGCCTGGAAAGGAAGGTCTGAGTTATACAGAGAGGCTGGGTAGGCTGGGACATTTTCACTGGAGTGAATGGCCGGTGTATTTTCCCAAAGGTAGGAGATTTTAAGACTCGGGGCATATATTTAAGGTGAGAGGAGAAAGATTTAGAAAGGACATGAAGGGCAACATTCTTACACACAGAATGGTTTGTGTGAGGAATGAACTTCCAGAGGAAGTGATGGATGCAGGTACAGTTACAAAGTTTTAAAGACATTTGCCTAAGTACATGAATAAGAAAGGTTTGGTGAGATATGGGCCAAGTGCAGGCAGGTGGGGGTTAGTTTAGTTTGCGATTATGGTCGGCATGGACGGGTTGGACTGAAGGGTCTGTTTCTGTGTTATGACTATGACTCTATCAACTTTAACATAAGAACATAAGAAACAAGAGCAGGAGAAGGCCATCTGGCCCCTCGAGCCTGCTCTGCCATTCAATAAGATCATGGCTGATCTTTTCATGAACTCAGCTCCACTTACCCGCCTGCTCACCATAACTCCTGAATTCTTTTCGTGTCACAAATCTATCTGGCTTTGCCTCTAAAACATTCTACGAAGTAGCCTCAACTGCTTCGTAGGGCAGGGAATTCCACAGATTCACAACCCTTTGGGTGAAGAAGCTCCTCTACATAAGTGATCCATTCAAAAGTCTGATAAATGACTGTTCTTTGGGACAAAAGCACAACGTTTGGTGATGTTTATGGGCCATTTTCATTTGTGAAACTGGGAGAGAGGAGTTGAATAAATGCATAGAAAATAGGGGCAAGATGAGGCCATTTGGCCCATCCAGCTCGTTCTGCCATTTGACTTGTCATGGCTGATCCTCCATCTCAGTGCCTCACTGCCACTTTCTCCCCACACTCCTGTGACACTTTTGGCTTCTGTATAAATATATTTCTTTCTTCAAAACATTCAGTGATTTTTTTGTTTGCCTACACAGCTGTCTGTAGTAAAATAATTTAACTCAATGTTCAAACCAATCTGCAAAGAATCTAAATCAGTAAAGAATGTTAATTTTCACTGCAACTATTTTTTTTAAAAATAGCAGTTAGATTTACCAGATATAAAATACTCAATGATTTTTATGTATGCCTTATTTTAATAAATTGCAATGTTCTGCCTAGAACATTGTAACTTTGGGAAGGATTGATATTTGAAAGGAAAACATTAGTATGGTTGCAGAAAGAGTGAAAAGGGGTGTGCTGCAATAGATATCACCTTCAGGGAGCTAACATCAACTAACAATGGGCTGAAAAGGAGCTGTTGTGGTGCAATGGTAGTGTCCCTACCTTTGAGCCAGGAGCCACCTGTTCCAGAGGTGTGTAACAATATCGCTGAGCAGGTTGATTAGAAAATGGGCTTAAAAAAAGCCTGAATGGCCTCTTGCCAAAGCTGTGCCCGAAGATTATGGCTGGTTTGCTTCAGTCTCACTTTCCCACACTCTTCTGCCATTTCTTGGTTTCTAATTGACCTTGGCTTCTGATATAGTAGCAGTTCCATTTTAAAATTCTCCACCTTATTTCTAACTCCCTCCTTGGCCTCATGACACCTTATTTCTGCACGCCGATATCTTTAACTTCTAGTTAGAATCAAAATGGCAGAAATTAGTATTCTTTTCTGATATGTCTGAACAAAACTGCCCTCCTCATCACC